GTTGATTTAATGCGCGCTGTGCACGCGGGAGTTCCCCCGGAGTGCCCTGCTGCCTGCGCGTGGTCCGCGATGGGCGCTGCTGTCGCTGAAGCTAGAGCTTGTCGACAGGAGGAGGGCGTGAACGGCATTTTGGCCGTTCTTGTTTCTGGGCTGCGCCTTCGGCGCCCCGCGTGCGAGGGGGCAGGGCGGGGGGTGATTGCCCTCGTCGCGCCCCCCCCCCCCCCCCCCCCCCCCCCCCCCTTCCCCCCCCTCCAGCCCCCCCCCCCTCCCCGAGGAGGGGGGCGAGGGGGGCGGCGGAGGGGGCGGCGAGAGGGGGGGGGAGGGGGGCGGATGAGAAGGCGGAGGCGGAACGAGGGGGCGATGGGGGGGGCGGCGGTGTGGAGGACTTCGCCGACCCCGAGGGAAATGTCGTTTGAGGGCAGGTGTGGCATCGCCCGCGTCGGTGGCCTGATGCGCTCGATGACCGGGGTGATCGGGGCTCGCGCACAGACTGCTCTGAGTATCAAGGCTGCTGGGTCCTGTCATTTCTTGCCACGTGTGCTCAAACTTGTTAGCACGCACAGGCGCAAGTTAGCAGGGGTCGCAGATTCAGCAGCCCTGCTCGCTGCTGGAGAGGCTCTAGGTTGTGGTTGACGGCCCTTGCATCGCAGCCTCGGCTGCCCTTGGCCGAAGACTGTGCGGCGGTTCGGGAGTCCAGTTTTCGGCGTTTTCGTTGAGTGGAATCGCTGTCAGGCTGAAGCTCCAGAGTTTCCTACGCGCTAGCATTGATATCGGGCTCCAGGGCAGCCCGACCAAGTTTCGTGATTACTTTGGTGAGAGCCTCGACCACTTTTTATGCGCTCCTGCGCAGCATGCGCATCAGCTCACGTTCGAAGGTCGCCTGCTTCCAAAGTTCCACCGCGCTCAAAGCGAGACCCTGTTGGTACGAGACAAATGGCGGTAGCTGTTGAAACAATGCAGCGTTCGAGCTTGTTAGTGGGGCCCTTGGAAGGCGCTCGTGGAATGTGGCCTCCAGAGATTTCTCATGGGCCTTGGTTGGAGGCGCCCGTGGGGGCCCCTGCGGGCTGCTCCGGAGATCCTCATCATGGGCCCAAACTCGAAAACACGTGGCAATACGAAAAATATGTATACAAGGGAAGGGAGGGTGGAGGAGAAGCAAGGGACGGGAGGGAGGGGGAAGAGGGAGGGCGGGGGGGAAGGGAAAAGGGAAGGAGGGGGATATACAAATGAGGATGACGAGGATAACGAGGAGGAGCGCTGGTGGCGAACTGGCGCAGGGGGCGGATGAGGCAAAACAGAGAGAAAGAGAGAGAGAGAGAGAGAAATGATGAAGGAAAAGGAAGGGAAGGAGGAAGAGCGATGAGGAGGAGGAGGAGGAAGAGGGGTAAGGGAGGAGGGGGGAAGAGGAAGGAAGAGGAGGGAGGGGGAGGGGTGAGGAGAGAGAATGGGGGGAGGAAGGAGGAGGAGGGAGGAGAGGGGAGGAGGGAGGAGGATGGACGATGAGCGCCGCGTGCCCGTTCACGTGCTTTGAAAGCCGCCGCGGCCCCCGCCCTGCGACGAAGACGGGGGCGAGGACGAGCGACGAAGGCCAAGGGCGCGACGCGACGCGCGACGGGGGCGGCGGCGGCGACGACGGCGGCGGCGGTGACGACGAGAGCCTTCATCTTCACTTATCCCTTCCTTTTCTCTTTGCCTCGCTGCTCCCTTCCCTTCCCGCTCCCCTTCCCTCCCCGCCCCTCCCGCCTCCGTTTTCTTTGGCGACTCGACCTTTTCAGGCAGGCGTGGGTTTGCCCGCCGTTGCTAACGGGAGCTCCTTCCGAGGCGACCCGGCGATCCAGGCCCGCCCCGCCGTCGGGGGGCGCGGCGAGCGCGGGACTTAAGCTCGCTTGCCGCATCGTGAAGAAAGTCCTGAAGCCTAGAGGATTTGCGATGTCTCACGATGTGGTAAGCTAGGGATAACGCGCGAAAGCGAACGTATAAGGTTCGAGAACCAAACAGCGAACGCATCGTGCTCGAATAATTAATGCAGCCTCAACGTGTGGGCCATGTTCAAAATATTATCATTTTTGGACTTCTGGGGATGCTGAACGATCGAGCGTTTTTCGGAAACGGCCGATCGTCGAAGGCTGACCGATCCCTGCGGTGTCAAGATCCAACGCCGACATAGGCACGACGCGAGCCTGCCGTAGAGACCTGCTTTTCTCCGCGTCGTTTCCGCGCGAGGGCCCGGGCGACTGCGGGGCGGCGTGCCGTGCAGCACGGAGTTTGCGAAGTTGGGCGCCCGGGTCTGCGGTTGGCCATGCTTCCCATCGCGCCCGACGGGTAGAGCTGCACGAAACACTTCGCGGCGCGGCACCGCCCGCCGACGACCACGGCGACGACGATGGCTCCGATTACGACGACGACGACGACGACGACGACGACGACGACGACGACGACGACGACGACGACGACGACACCAACTGCGACGCCGGCGGCGCCGAAAACGACGGCCTCGCCGACGTCGAGGACGACGCCTTCACCGCTGATGATGGCGACGCGACGTTCGGGGTTCGGTGATTTGGTTTTCGTTTTTTGCCCCATATGCTGTCGCGCTCAGCTTCTTGCTGGGGCGCCTGTCGCGGCGCGGCACCGCCCATTGGCGACTGCGACGTCGTCGTCGACGAAGTTTGTGGCGGCCACGTCGGCGACGACGACGAAACAGACGACGTTGACGACGGCGCGACGTCCAGAGGTTGCTGGAGATCTCCAACGGTCTCATGAGGCTTCCCGAGGTCCCAGGAAACGCCTCTGGTTGCCTCCGAAGGCCACTTCGAAGGCCTTCGACGCCGACGTCGACGACGCCGGCGCCGACGGCGATGAGGACTCCCTGCGTCCAGGGTGGGAATCCCCCGAGCGCGGCCAGCGGCAGGCTTGGCCCTGCCCCCCACGTCTGCAGGTCCTCCGTCGCCCGTTGCCAGTCATCCGTCGTCCGTCGTCAGTCGTCCGTCGTCGTCGTCGTCGTCGTCGTCGTCGTCGTCGTCGTCGTCGTCGTTTTCGTCGTCGTCGTCGTCATTGTCGTCGTTGTCGTCGTCTTCGTCGTTGTCGTCGTCGTTGCCGGCGACCTTTGGAGGCCCTTCGGAAGCCTTCGCCTGCAGAAGGAGGCCTTCGGAGGCTCCCGGGGGGCCTCTGGACACATCTGGGGTCCTCCAGTGGCCTTTGGACACCCCTGGGGGTGTTCGCCGTCGTCGGCGTCGGCGTTGTCGTCGGCTTCGTCGGGCGTTCAAGGATGGAGGATCGAGGTCGAGGATGGAGGCCCCTGCAGCCAGCGGCCCCTCCTCGGACTTCTGGGGGACCCTGGAGGCCTCTCGGAACCTGGCCTCGTTGTCCTTGCCCCTGTCCTTTGCCCCTTGTCCCAGTTCTTGTCCTTGACTTTGTCCTTTTGTCATTGTGTCCTTTCGTCCCGGTCCTTGTCCATATGTCCTAGTTCTCCTCCTTGTCTCCTTGTCTCCTTGTCTCCTTGTTTGTGTCCTTGTGCTCTTGTGTCTTTTTTTTAGTTGTACTGGTCCAGCATGACTATACTGAGGCCAACTTGCCAGGCCGAGCGTCGTCCGACACCTTTCGATGCGTCTGGCCCTTCCCGACGTGCCCAGATCATGCGCGTTCGACAGTCAAATGTCTGATGCAGATTCAGTCAAGTCAGGATAGCCTCGAGAAGGTGTGCACGACGAAATCGAAGGTTTGCTCAAGTTGTCATTTTCAGAGCATGGTCCATCGTGATGAAACTTCGAATCTGGAGGCGACGTGACAAGAGCATTTCCGACGCTCTGCGTATCTCCACCAGCCCATCAAGGGGCCAATTCCAGGCGTGTTGCCATGCGCATGCATGTGGAGCAGCATGGGTGACGCCCAATCCCACCCAACATTTTCAACTTGGGGGGCCCCAAATTCTCAAATTTGGTGGGGCTTGTCGCGGATCCTCTGGGTTTCCCGGCGTGCTCCCCAGGCTCCCCGCATCTTGTCGCGTGATTTTTTCGAACCCAATCGGGCCCCGAGATGGGTCAAATGGTGTCTTGACCTCCTGTGAGCCACTCTTGGGGTCCCTTGGGGCCCTCTTGGGCAGTCTTGGCGCTCTCTTGACAGTCTTAGGGGCTCGCTTTTGCCGTCTTTGGGCCCTCTTGGCCGTATGATGGGTGCCTGGGGGCCTTCGCGATGCCGTCTTAGGCCGTCGAAAGGCGTTCTAGGTTGGAGGCCCTCTTGAGCCATCTTGGGGCCGTTTTGGATTCCTCTCGGGCCATTGTGGGACCTCTTGGGCCATTTTGGGACCCTCCTTGGGGCCCCTTGGACCGTCTTGGGGCCACCGTGGAGGTTTCTAGGGCCGTCTTGAGCTGGCGGAAGCCCGAAATGGGGAGAAGGTGAGAATCCTTCAAAGACCTACGGAAATCAGCGATTTTGGTTTCTTCGGGATTTGGCCACCTCGGGGCCATCTTGGGCCGTCTTCGAGGCATCTCGGACCTTCTTGATGTCTTTTGGTTACCCGCGTGGGCCGTCTTGGAAGCCCGGGGTGCGGATCCGCCGTTTTTTTTCTCCAGGGATCGTGGCCTGGGGAGCGCGAATCCGCGCTTCTTCTCGACGGACCGTGGCCTCGGGAGGGGGGACGGCTCGTGGGCTCGTGAGAGGGGGGCCCCCTATCGGACGACAGCAGGCACAGCAGACAGCCCGCGGCATGCTTCCACGCCTCTGTGCGCACGAGGCGCGCTGGCGGATCGATCTTTCCGGGGTTCCCTGCGAGGCTTGGGGGCCACCTCTGCGCCAGCGCGGCGCCCTGCCTGGGCCTCTTTTGGAGGCAGGCTGGAGGCCACCGAGGCCAACTTGGGCCTCCTCCGCCATCTTGGAGAATATCTGTGGCTCTCTGGGCCCATCACGCTCTAGTCGTATTCAGAGATCCAGGGCAAGCAGATCATGGTCAATCGTCCCGGGTCCCTCTGGTTCCCCCCACTTGCGCGCCCTTTCTCGCGCAGGTGTGGGCGCTCGACCGTGGCAACTTTAAGAGCATGCTCGTGCAGGTGCTCCAGGGAGGGGTGCGAGGAGGAGGAGGAGGGAGGAGCACCAGCGGCAGCGGAGGTCGAGTAGGGGATCGCCTACATCATTGATTCACCTTATCTTTTTGTTCGTAGTATCTACGAAAATACGTAGAATATTCGGTGGATCAACGGAGCATTGATTCTGTGGTAAATCAATTCTGTAGTCGACCCCCTACTCGAAGAGGGAGCGGAGCAGAAGGGGGGAGGGAGGATGGCCCGCCCGCCCTTCTCGACGTGCTCTCGTCCGAGATGTGTTCGTCTGTGCGGCGTCCGCTGTGCTTCTGGCCGTTAGCCCTCGGGAACTCTGCGTGGTGCGCAGCACTTTCTCCTCCTCGTCCTCCTCCTTCTCCTCCTCCTCCTCCTCCTCCTCCTCTTTCTTCTCCTCCTCCTCCTGCTCCTGCTCCTCCTCCTCCTCCTCCTCCTCCTCCTTCTCCCCCTCCTCCTCAAGGCCCGGCTCTCCGAGCAATGGAGCGTGGGCCGCTGTCTGGAATGAGCCCCATGCTTGGAGTGCGTCCCCATGCGTTGGCGGATCCCTCTTCCTCGGTCCCCCGGCAGGGCGCTCTTTCAGGCCATGGGCTAAGCCAGAGCCCAGCCAATTTCTGATGCGGCCTGCCCGGCAGGCCCGGCCCAGCAGCTTCTCGTATCAGCGTCTAGCCGCCTAGCTGGCTAAAACGCCAATCTGACCCCCCCAAGGCAGTGCGCTGCTAGAGGGAACGATCCTCTCAGCTCGAGTTTTTTGCCGCTAGGGTGTGGGAAGCTTTTCTGTTAGTGCAGACGAGTGTGTAGTCAACAAGGGGGGGCAGATCCGCTTCAGCTCCAGGCAGGGTCCATGGGCGTGCCACGCAGACGAAGATCGAAGTGCTAGAGGAGGGAGTGGCCCACCCAGAGCGATCCAACCTCGACTGCCAAGAGGCAGGCCGCGTGCTGCGGTCAGTAGGCTCCCCGCCGGCAAATTGGCGCCTAGGTCGTGGCCTTCTGAATTGTGCGCGGGTCCTGCGTCTGGGCAGGCCCGAGAGGGCCTTTGCGGTACAGTGGAGACCGATGCCAAGGAACACCCTGCTTGCCTCCAGGGTGCCTTGGGTTTCTTGGGTTTCGATGATTTTGCTATGGGAAGCGTGACGTTCCCACACCAAAAATCAATGGACGTCCTGGGGTCTCAGGGCTGTTTTTTTTTTTTTTTCTTGCGGTCGAGCTCCTACTTTAGCAGATGGTTGACAACGCCCTCCACGGAAGTCGAAGAAAGGTTCGCGGAAGTAAGCCGTAGCAGAACCGTGGCGGTTTTGCCACCAGAAGCCTGGCGGGGGCCGGCGGAATCGAGAGCCAGAGTCTTCAGAGAGTGGTCGATGCCAGTGGTGGCACACGCCGCCAGGGATGATCAGGGAGCGCCTAGGAATAATCGAGATTCCAGCCGTACAGTCACAAGGATCGCTGGCAGTTTTCGATCGAATCTTCAAGCAGTGGGCCAGTGCTGCAGCCAGTGGTCGCCAGAAGTCTGGGGGAGCTTGACGCGCCCATGCCACACTGATCGGATCCTCCGATGTTGCGTCTGCACCGCTGGACGTGGTGGAAGAAGCAAAGCATGGGTAGAAAATCATGGGAGCCTGATGTAACCTCGCAATTCCGTCTTCAGAGCGCACTAGCGTCGATTAGCGTCTGGTGATCGATGAGATTGCGCCGACTTAGCGTCGAGTAGCGTCGATTAGCGTCGATTCAGCGTCGATCAGCGTCGATCAGCGCCGGCTAGCGTCGATTCGCAAGAGCTAGTGAGATGGTATGGGAGGTACCCATGAGTTGCAACCGAGAAACAGGAACCCAGGACGCAACGCACGGACGAAGACGAAGTCCGAGCCGCACCCCCGCCGCCCAGCGGCTTGGACGGGTTGGGGCCCCCCTGGATCTGGGCAGGCCGGAGATGTGCGGGTGCCCAGAAGATCTCCGCCGCTGCCGCCGTGCACTCCCAGCTTGGGCCCAGGGCGCTCGACCCTGACACCGGGCGTCTCGAAAAATTCGGGACGGAGGTCGTTCAGCGTTTTCGGTTTCCAGGGGCTCTTACCTGGCCTCAGGACTGTCAAAAAGTATTTCGGGATGAAGACCTGTCCCAGGGCGTTGGTCGAGAGATCGGGGGCCCGCCTCTGGACAAAAATCGGCACGCCGCACTTCTGGGGACCCCTTCCCCGGCAAGTCCGGCACACCTGCCCAGGCTGGCGCAGAGCCCTCGAGTGCCTGCCTCGGAGGGCGCCGTGCCTGCCACGCACGGCATCCTCAGCGACAAAGCGCTGCACGAGTGCAGCCTTTCGGAGTTCCGTAGCCCCTCTGGTTCAAGCCGTCTTGGCTTAAGCCGTCTCCCAGGAGTGTTCCTCGCTCTGGGGTCAGGCGCGGCCTGGGCGGCGCGGCCAGGCCGCGCGCCGCGGCTGCGGCTGCCGCCCCGCCATGCCCTCCTTGTACTAGTCTCTGGCCGCCTGGCGGTAACGCTGTTGCCGCGGGCGCTGCAGGCGCCTCCGGCGCCGCGGCCGCCGCGGCCGTCGCGTCCGCCACCAGCTCCGCCGCCGCCCAGGGCGCCGCCGGCGTGGAGGGCGGCGCTGGTATGGGCGCCGGCCGCCACAGGCGCCACTGGCGCCGCCGCGCCACGGGCGTTGCGTGCGCCCTGGGCGCTGCTGTCGCCGCCGGCGCCCCTGGCACCGCGGCCGCCGCGGCGGGCGCGGTGGACGCCGCGCGCGCCACGGGCGCAGCTGGCCCGGCCAGCGCCGCTGGCGCCGCTGGCCCCGCGGGCGGAGGTTGGGCCGCGCGCGCCGCGCGTTCAGGCGCCCCCAGCGCCGCGGGTACTGCGGGCGCCGCCACCGCCGCTGGCGGGGGCTGAGCCGCCCCCTGTGCCGAGGGCCAGGCCGCGGCCGCCGGCTGCGCCGCGGACACGGCCGCCGCCGCTGACGCCGCTGCTGCCGTCGGCCTCTGGGCCGCGGCGGCGGCACTGGCGCGGGCGGCTGCGAGCGCGGCGGCCGCGGCGCGCGGCCCTGGCTCGGCGCCTCCCTCGGTGCTGGAGCCCAGCGCGACCATCTACAGTTCTGGGATCTGCGAGCTTGGGGGCGGTGTGCGCGGCAGCGGGCTGGGCCGCTGCGCCGCGCGCGGCAGCGGGCTGGGCCGCTGCTGCGCCGCGAGGACGCCTCGCCCGACAACCAGCCCCCCGCCCCGCCTCTTCACGCCAAGCCCTCCGCCTTGCCCCATGCTCACTCCGCCATGTACCTCGCCCAGCCCCTTGGCCTGCCCGACGCCTCCCCCTCCGCCCGTCCCATCGAACGTATTCACAGTGCCAGAATCATACCTGACTCCCCCCTCGATGCAGTGCCTGACGCCATATCCGACGCCGCTTCCAACGCCCTTGCCGATGCCGCTCCCGACACCGTAGCCGACGGCCTCCCCGACCACTCCCTTGGGATCTGCACGCGCGTCGCAGTCTGGGGTCCGAAGCGCTCGGTTACCCTTTCAGAATCAGCGCGCGCAATACCTGCGCTCTCCGGCAGATGCGGGAGGCGAAGCTGGATTCCGCGACGGCCGGCTACAGTCCTGGAATCACCGCGCGAGGGCTTGAGGACGGGACCCTGGATGAGGAGGGCGCGTCCCCTGGCGCCGCAGTTGGGCTCGCCTCGAAATTCTGGCCCGGGCGTGCCGTCGAAAAGGCTGAGCCGGCTTGGTCCCACCCCTCCTCCGCCTCCTCCTCCTCCTGAGGAGGAGGAGGAGGAGGAGGAGGAGGAGGAGGAGGAGGAGGAGGAGGAGGAGGAGGAGGAGGAGGAGGAGGAGGAGGAGGAGGAGGAGGAGGAGGAGGGAGGCGGAGGAGGCATGTTCAGGGTTTGACTAGGTTCCGGCTCTTCGCCGCCCGGAGGTTGATGGCGTGCACAGTCGGGTGTTGCTAGAGGTGCTCCTGGCCCAAGGTGTCCCCTCCACAGCGCTCCTCACGAGGCCCAGGGGGCCCCAGGGGCTCGAAAGTCGAGCGAACAACTCGGGGTACCTTTCTGCCAGGGGCACCCTTAGCAACCCCCGACACACGCCTACCACTCACGCGGTTCTGGCTGTGTGCCGCCCTCACGGGATCCTGTGGGTGGGGGCCGCTCCCCTTGTCGACGCGTCTGGGCTCGCCTCCAAATCTTGGTCCAGGTGTACGCTCGGAAAGCAGCCGGTTCCACCTTGCATGGGTACCGCTCCATCTGGCACGGCCTTTCGCCGACCCGGTGACATCGTCGTCATGCCCGCGCACGCTAACCCATCAGTTTCGGCTTTTCGCCACCCTGGGGACAACGTTGCTTCCACGCCCTGGGAATCGACTGATGCGGCCTTCCGCGGCGGAGATAGTGGCGAAGAGAGACGTGCCTGCGGCATCATGCAGAAGGTCGGCTATCCTCACGAACTTCTCGGGCGCCTCCCTGTGGGCAGGACGGGCGCGGAACGTCGGAAGGCCACGGGCCACTCGCGGACTTTGGGGAGCAGCGAGGGGACCCTTGGGCGAGACGAGGGCCGGGGTGACCGGGACGGCTCCTCTTGGGAAGGGGACGAGGCACCTGGCGGCGCACAGACCCGGGACGCTCGCTCCACTTGTACCTGGTTCGCTCCTCGTCGCGCGTCGCCCTGACGTGGCCCAGGACCCCGACCCCCTGATGGGGCTCGGGGTTGGACAGACTACACACTGTGCGAGGCGGCCCGCTTCTGGCACGCCAGCCACCCCCAGGCTTTCGTCCGCCGGCGTGAGCGCTTGAGGGGAAGCACGGGCGCCCCTCAATGCGTTGCCTGTCTCGAGCCCGTCTGGGGGGCGACGTTCGAGGGGCCAGACGGGCCCCTGCACTACGGGTGTTTCCTGCATGCGGCAGGGGGCGGTGGCGACGGCGGCGCGCGGGCGGACGCCGCGGCCGCTGCCGCCTCCGAAGAGGCGGACGCCGCCACTCTCTGCCGACTGGTGGCCGAAGAACGATACGCGCCCGTGCAGTCTGAGGGCCACG